CGGTGCCCCGCCATTTTTAAAGGTCCGCTAGTGTGGACTGCGTGCCCGCGGCTACACGCGGCACGGACTAGATAGTTCGGACTAGGAGTGCTTTTCCGAACGATCGTTACACCTCGTATGACTACATCGTTACACTCCGTATGACTACATTAACCGCCCTAGTGCGAACTAGGGTGGTAGTGTAGACATACCCTTAGAGTGTATGTAGCTAGTGTTAAGAGGACTTTGTTCCTCTTCCTCACCTCTCCCTGGCTGGGGAGGGGATGCCAGGGCCACACGGATTCAAGCCTTGTGTGTCCTGTCTGAAATCCATGCCCTGCAGAGATCTGCACGACTCCTGCCTAAAGTGCTTGGGTGAGGCACATTGCATGCAAGCCTGTAGGATTTGTAGGAATTTTAAACCACGGACAAGAAGAGAGAGAAACTCTAGGTTGAAGAGTCTTCTCATGGAGACCACTTTCCAACCGCCAGCACCAGAAGAGGCCCAGTTGGTGCGCCGTGCCCCTTCCTTGGTGTGGAAGGCTTCTACTTAAGACTAAGCTTTCTCGGCATTGTTCATAATCTCCTTCTCAGAGGAGACCCAAGAAAGGGAAGGGACGTTCCCCCCACAGAACAGGCCGCAAAGTGTGCCCGAAGGAGGGATACTTGGCCACAAAGACTCTGAGCCAGACACGTGCAGAGTCTGGACATGGGAATGTTCCCGTAATGGGTGAAGCCAAGGAAGCCCTGTGGGATCTGAGACCGTGGACCCTGGAGACGTTTCACGTGGCGTGCAATGTGATAGAGCTAACCGCCCCGGAGCCATCATCCTTCTCCGTACTGGTACTGAGCAGGTCGATGGTACATTGGTCAGCGCAATCAGCAGCACCAATGACATCCCTGCCACCTTTACCGGTACCGGGGCTACAGATGACCACTACAACATCAGCCTCCTGGGCGCATGGACACCCATCAATGGTTACTACAGCACCAGGAGTGCCGGCCCCAGCCACGTCCACGGTACCCATCATGGCACTGGTCCATTTACAGGCAATGGCTCAGGCCCCGGCACTGACTCTGGCACCGACCCCGGCACTGGTGCCGCTATGGGCTGTTGCACTAACCCCCGTGCTGACCCCAGCACCGACAGTTTTACTGGTCCAGGTGCCAATCACGGTACCATGGCTGGCGCTGATGCTGGCCCCGACTCCCGCACCAATGCTGGCACCAATCATGGCACCGCTGTTGGCACCAATACCGACACTGATTTCGGCACCACTGATGGCGGCACTGGTACCATTATCAGACCGGCCGACACCGATGCCATCTTTGACACCGATCCCACCAATATGGACAGCATCAGGGACACCAAATGTTCTGCCCTTGTCGGCACCAGACTGTCTGGGCATACAGACGGCACCACAAGATGGCACCACAGCACCAGCACAGACCTTTTTACCTCCCGCACTGGTCATGGCACTCAGAGGGAAATCGTGGGCTCTGGCCCAGCATCAGAGGGAACGAGAGTCAGATGTCCCCCATGGTCAGCCTCAGAATATTCATCAGACTCTGATGCAGAGTCCCTGAAGTCTTTCTACAGATCAAGGTCAAGGCACCGGTCCCGTTCATGCCACTGGGCAGTTTGTGCCAACCCTGCCTAATAGTATACCTGGCCTTCTTAACAATGGCCCTGGGGGCCTACCATCAAGTCTAAGGGCCATCCCGTGAGGTATTTGTCTCGGGGTCATCAAGACAAGGGAGCCCCCCCATTGGCAACACCCCTCCATAGAGCCCCCGTGTCCGAGATGGATAAGTCATGATTATCTCTAGATCCCTGGTCATGAAGGGCGATGGGGCAACCAGATTCCCCCAACCTGAGCCCATGCAGGTAGCCCTCCATCACTGGAGGACCAGCCCATCCCAAGGGACTCCTCGTCATTCTCTCTTGATGAGGTCCTTAGCTGATCCAGCCCCATCATTACCGTCGATGGATGCAAGGGCACAACAAGACCTGCTGAGAAGGCTAGCGACAAACTTGTTGGTGAAGGTGGAGGAAGTACAAGAGGAGGCTGCCCCAATGGTGGACATCCTCTTGGCAAATACCAGTAGTTAATACCTCAATAGCTTTCATCACCATACAATTTTGACAAGTGCCCCGACCCCTTCTCATGATGCCTCCTGCCCTACCCCTACCCATGATGCCTCTTAAGTCCGCCCCCTTCCCATGATGCCCCTGCACCATGAGGCTTCCAAGATCATGGGACGGCGCCATGTTGGACACATGTTTTCCAGGCCAGGCTTATCTGTCTAAAAAGAAAAGAAAGAGCAAAAAAGGGGGAAAGTGGAAAAAGCATGGCAGGTTAAAGAGAGAGAAATGCTAGCACCAGAGAAAAGAAAGAAAGAAAGAAAAGAAAAGAAAAAAAACGGAATAAGAGTGGCAGGCTTATCCGTCTAAAAAGAAAAGAAATAGCAGATAGAGAAATCAAGGAAAAATGGAATAAGGGTATGTCTACACTACAGCACTAATTCACACTAACTTAGTTCGAAGTTAATTCGAACTAAGCTAATTCGAATTAGCGCATCTAGATTTAAAAACTAGTTCGAATTAGCATTTTGCTAATTCGAACTAGCATGTCCACATTGAGTGGACCCTGAACCGAGGTTAAGGATGGCCGGAAGCAGTGCTGGCAGGGCATCAGATTAGGACTTAGAGTGTGGAGCTGCTGTCTCAGGCTAGCCGAGGGCTGTGCTTAAAGGGACCCGACCCCCACCCCGGACAGACAGTTCTCAGGGGTTCCCCACTTGCAAAGCAGTCCTGGCTTGGAGTGGCTGGCTTGTGCCGTGCCAGGTGCAGGGTCTGCTGGCTGGATGCTGGCAGACTTGCACCTGGCACGGGCACCGTAGGGCACCGTAGGGCTCCGGGGCCGGGAGGGGGCCATACGAGTTTCCCTGGTGGTGCCCAGAGTGGCCACCAGGGCAAGCTGGGGAGAGCTAGCTTCCCACTAGTTCGAATTAAGTGGCTACACAGCCCTTAATTCGAACTACTTAATTCAAACTAGGCGTTAGTCCTCGTAGAATGAGGTTTACCTAGTTCGAATTAAGCGCTCCACTAGTTCGAATTAAGTTCGAACTAGCGGTTTGTATGTGTAGCGCCTATTAAAGTTAATCAAATCTAATGTCTGTTAGTTCGAATTAACTTTGAAAAAGAAGCCTGCAGTCTAGACATAGCCAGAGAGAGAAAAGAAATAGAAGAAAAGAGGAGAAAAAATGGAATAAGAGTGGCAGGCTTATCTGGCTAAAAAGAAAGAGAAACCAGGAAAAGCTAGCACCAGAGACAGAAAAGAAACAGGAGAAAAGGGAAGCTGAAGAAAAAGGGGAGATGCTAGAAATACAAAAAGGAAATGGGGGAGAGAGAAGCTGAAGAAAAAGTTAGCATCAGAGAAATTGGGGAGAGAGAAAAAAGGGGAAAGTGAGAGAAAAAATGGGGAAAATGGAATAAGCATGGCAAGGCTTATTTGGCTAAAAAGAGATAGAAACAGGAAAGCTAGCACCAGAGAAATAAAAGAAATAGGAGAAAAGGGAAGCTGAAGAAAAGGGGGAGATACTAAAAATACGAGATGGAAAGGTGGGGGGGGAGAGAGAGAAGCTGAAGAAAAAGCTAACATCAGAGAGAGAAATTGGGGGCGGGAGGAGCGAAAGGTGGGAAATGAAATAAACGTGGCAGGCTTATCTGGCTAAAAGGAGAGCTATCACCACAGAAGGAGAGAGAAGAAAGAGAGCGAAGCTAGCACCAGACAGAGAAAAGAAACAGGAGAAAAGGGAGGAAAGAAAAACACTAGTGGCAGTGAAGATAAGGGGAGAGGCTAAAAATACAGGTTTGCTGGGGTTAAAGAAAGCTGCAGAGAACAGACCATTCTCACCCATCCTTGGTCCCTAGGAAATGCTACTGGTTGTGAGCAGGGGCAGATGACCATTTTGCTGGGCCCTGGGCAGTATAATTCCGCGGGGCCCCCCCTTTGCCATGGCGCATGCGCAAGGCTTTTTGAAGCGCAGGGCCTGGGGCGGCCGCCCCGTTCACCCTGCCTTATATCCGCCCCTGGTTGTGAGCCTTCTCACCCACCCAGGCTGACCAATTGGTTGATTTGCCCAATCAGAGAAGCAGTGTCGACACATCTTTTGGTCTGTCCAATCCGAAGCACCCCACAACCCGCACCGGTCTGTCCAATCAGAAGCAGCACATACTTTTAAACTGTCCAACCAGAAAGCTCCCTCCCCCCAGTTTATTTTTAATGTTCTGGAACAAGATTCATTCTGGCCCAATCACCTACTGTATGCATTCCCTCCCTTCCCACTGATACAGGACACTCTAGTCAGGGTCAGGTATTTCAGGGCAAGGATTATCATGATAGCACCGATGTGGCCCTGCCAACACTGGTTCTCCATGCTGAGGAAACTATCAATAGTGGACCCGGTGCGACTACCTATAGTCTCGAATCTCATCATGCAAGATCTAGGGCAAGGGATTCTCTGCCATCCGAACTTGGGAGCCCTCCTCCTTGCAGCTTGGAACCTGAATGGCTTTCCAAGGCTGCTCTCAGGAAGTCCAAAGGGTCTTACTGGAAAGTAGAAAACCATCTACGAGGGCCCTTTATGAAGCTAACTGGAAAAGATTTGCGCTGTGGACACAACAAAGGAGCATCGACCCGGTTTCAGCCAACATTCCCCTGATATTAGACTATCTACTATAGCTCAGACACCAGGGCCTTGCCACGTCATCTCTCAGGGTACGTCTAGACTACAGGCTTTTGTCGACAGATACTGTCAACAAAGCTTCTGTCGACAAAGAGCACCTAGACTACATCCAGTTCTGTCGACAAAGCAAGCTGGCTGGCCCTATGGATACTGCTGAGAGAAAAAGTTCCAAGATCTGTGCACACTGCACACAGACACCTGATTGGAAAGGACATGAGCAACACATCTCAAAGAACTACAGTTACGAGGTAAGTAAACTCTTCTTTTCACGTGTGTACAGCGTCTAGTGCAGTCTCAGCTGCTGGCAGAATTGTCATGCAAATGACAGTTGTGGATTGACACCCACACGTGGCTCAGCATCTCCTGTTGCCACTTTGATTGAATCCCAGGTTATTTTTTAGTGAGACGGGGCTGTTGCCCATCTCAGGTGTAAGTGCGCTAATGAGGTGGCCCCTTTCATCTTACAAGGTGAGCAGTGGGAAGATACCATCGAACCCCTTGCCAAGAAGAAGAAGACGGAGGATGGACCTGGGACATTCCCAGCGGGTGACACATCCGTGAGCATCTGTAAGTATAAGAACCCACCTGTGCTTGCCCACAGTGCATAGCAACCCCCAGGATGGACCAGGAACGCCCTGCCCCTACAGCTCAGGGCCCCATGGGAGCAAAGGGCCCCAGCACTATGGAGCAAGCCACCTGGGCAGTGCACGGCTTCAGCCTTTCCCCTCACAGCCCAAGAGCATGAGGACAGGGAGGGGCAGCCCCCATCTGCACATGAGCGAGGGGGGTGGCCTGCCTCTCAGCCAGAGAATGGGGGGGGTGTGGGGAAAGCAAGCAGCCCAGGGCTCCAACCTTCCCCACCGGAGTCAGTACATGGGGACTTGGGGGTGGTGTGCACCCTTGCCCCATGTGGGGGCACTGACTCAGAGGGCTCGCCAGCCGCTGCCCTTTTCTGGAGCCCCCAGGGGTAGCACAACCCTGCTCGCTGCTCAGCCGGGACCTGGCTCCCGAGCGAGGGCTGAGGTGCTCTGATGTCACCGTGTCCTTCTTCCAGACGAGACCCTGGAGGCGGAGGCCAAGGGACTTCTGAACAACATGTACGAGAAGCTGTACAAGTTTCTGCCCGAGGGCAACATGTGGGATGGACTGAAATACCTCAAGTGAGTCAGCCGCCTGATTCCTCTCGGGAAGACGAAGGGATTTAGACCCCCCTCCCAGCCCCTGCTCCCAGAGTGCTCAGCTCACCCGCTCTATGCTGGGCTCTGAACACCGCCTGCAGGCCTGGCTCTAGCCAGGAGCATAGGAACGGTCAGGCTGGGTCAGGCCACGGCCCCTCCAGCCCAGCGTTGTCCTTGACAGCTGCAGCCACTTCGGAGGGAAGCATAAGAACCCCTCCATTATGGGATGTCCCCCATGAATGTACAGCCCCCCCCCCAGCCCTGTATGGCCCCTGGAAAATACCCCTGCAGATACCTTCTCAGAGCCCTACCCGCTGAAGAGACGGCCCGGGGAGAAGAAGGAGTACCGGGGGAGGGAGTGTAAGCTCCATGCAAACCGGGGTGTGAGGCACCCACACTTCCAGAGACCCTGTGTGTGGAAACCTGCTCTTGTGTGTCCATGCGGCGCTGTAAGCCTGGGATTGCGATGGTGAGACCAGGACTCACAATTGCGCTGACATGTCCGTGCCGCCCCACGTAGATCTGGTGTATCCCGGGCATGTAGCAACCTCGCCAGCTGCAGCTGCTCGAACCCTCGTGTCCTGGAGGACGGTGGGAAAACTCACCTGTCGTTCCTGTCGACCATAGCAGCAGAGGAGCCCAACCCTACGTTGACTGAAATCAGCTAAGGGCAGGGGAGAAAAGGGTTTTTCCACTCACTTCCAAGGGGTTTATTTGTGAGACCAGGCAGGCATCAGGCTTCCCAAATACATGAACCTGCCTAACCCCCTCCCTCTCTCTTCCTCTAACAGGGACCGCCTCACTACCTTGAAAGAAAGCTCTTCCTTGGACCCCATCTGCATCGGGCTCTTAGGGAACACTGGGACCGGGAAGAGCTCCCTGCTCAACGCCATTATCGAGCGTCAGTTCTTCCTGCCGACGTCGGGGTACCAAGCCTGCACCTCCTGCATGGTGCAAGTCAGCAGCGGCCGGGGCCAAAACTATGAGGCGAAGATTCACCTTCTTTCAGAAGAGGCAAGTTGAGCGCGGACGCAGGGCACAGGAACAGGGGCTTGATTTCTGGGCGGACAGGTGTGGAACCACAGACCTGTCACAGGGTCGCACTGGCCCATGGGGGCTGAATCGGGAAGGGTGTGGGGTCTGCATCTGCCTGGCTCTGCAGGGCCCTGCTGGCTGCAGTTTGCCTTAAACCCCACCCCCACATTGCCAAGGGCTCCAAGCAAAGAAGGAACACGCAGGAAGGGAGGCCTTCTAAGAGGAGAACCAGGCCCTCCCTGCCTGGCCTGTCGGTGGCCAGAAGGGATTCCCGCTCCCTGAACCACACGCTGCTGGTTCATCTGACGCAGAAGCCAGGGAACTGTTCCAACTACTCCTGCGCTATTGCTCCCCATACCTGCTCCTCCGGCACTGAGTCACTTCCCAGCTCTCTCTGCTCCGCACAAAGCTCCTGCGTCCCTCGGACTGCAATGCTGTCACACCAATCCCATGCTGTCTGAGCTCGCAGCACTGCTGGGGCTACTTGCCCTCCTCCCATTCTCCTGTCCCACACATGTTGTGAGAGATAGGAGGGGTGCTGTCCTTTTCTGAACACTCCCCACGTTCAGTACCCAAAGGGTTAAACCCCGGTAGCTAGCAAGGAGCCAGGAGAACCAATGAGAAGAAAGCATTGAGATTTGAATGGAAGAGATACCTGCCTGCTGTTTTCCGTTGGGTGAGTTTAACCCGGGAGCTGGGGAAACAAGATGAATTGAACCAGACAGAGCTACCATGCCTACAAAGAAACGGACTGGACCTTGTAGCATGGATATGTGCGTAGACAGGGAATGTCTATTTAGACAAGATCAGGTTATTTTCTTTGTTTTGTTGTTTGATTAAACTTCTCTGTGGTAACTCACTGTGCCCCCTCCCCCATACACTGCAACTTTAAGCTGTATCTCAGGGATGAAATTCTCTGTGTTTTAATTTGTGCTTTTCTCGGTTGCTTCAAAACCCCTTGTAACCAAGTCTGCTTTACCAAGGATACCTTGTAGTTTTGTTCATAAAATCACTTTTTCTTAAAGTTATGGTTTAATTAATAATGGAGATTGCCTATGTCCTAGAACTGGAAGAGATCTTGAAAGGTCATTGAGACCAGTCCCCTGCCTTCTCAGCAGGACCAAGTACCCTCCCTAATGAATTTTTGCCCCAAATGGTCTCTGCAAGGATTGAACTCACAACCATGGGTTTAACAGTCCAATGCTCAAACCACTGAGCTATCCCTTACTGCCCCTGTATAAAACTATGGTATGCCCACATCTTGAATACTGTGTACAGATGTGGTCTCCTCACCTCAAAAAAGATATTTTGGCCTTGGAAAGGGTTCAGAAAAGGGCAACTAAAATGATTAGGGGTTAGGAACGGGTCCTATATGAGGAGAGGTTAAAGCGACTGGGACTTTTCAGTTTAGAAAAGAGGAGACTGAGGGGGGATATGATAGAGATCTATAAAATCATGAGTGGTGTGGAGAGGACTGATAAAGAAAAGTTATGTATTAGTTCCCATAATAGAAGAACTAGAGGACACCAAATGAAATTAATGGGTAGCAGGTTTAAAACTAATAAAAGAAAGTTCTTCTTCACACAGCGTGTAGTCAACCTGTGGAACTCCTTGCCAGAGGAGGCCGTGAAGGCTAGGACTATAATAGAGTTTAAAGAGAAGCTAGATAATTTCATGGAGGTTAGGTCCATAAAAGGCTATTAGCCAGAGGATAAAATGGTGTCCTTGGCCTCTGTTTGTCAGAGGCTGGAGACAAATTGCTTGATCATTGTCTTCGGTCCACCCTCTCTGGGGCACCTGGTGCTGGCCACTGTCGGCAGACAGGATACTGGGCTAGATGGACCTTTGGTCTGACCCAGTATGGCCGTTCTTATGTTCTTATGAGGCTTTTCCAAAATTTGGTGCATCTATACCATAAAATGAAGTTGACAGGGATGGTGAAAGAACACGTCCATTTTTTTGGAAATTTTTCTGAAAAAGTGGACATGTTCCTTAGTCGTGGCATTGCTCTTCCAGGATACCGGAGGTATCCTGCAAAAGTGCTGCAGTCTAGGCATCGCCTGAGGGGTCAGCTATCAGCAGTTGCAGTTTTATATATAAGCTCTCTTGTAAAAAAGCTTGGGGGGACAAAGGTCCAAGTGCTTTCATCCCATGTTCCAGAAGAAAGGGAACCTATCTCCCAGGTCAGGGACTCTGTGATCTTGGGGACTTTTTTAAAAGCAGAAGCCTCTAGAGGCAAAGTATTTTTTAAGGTCTCTTGTGGGCCCCCACTTTCTGCACACAAAGTTCCAGAGTGGGGGGTGGGGGACGTGCCCAAGACAACAACGGTCCCTTTGCCTTGCTCTCTCCTGGCAGGAGTGGCAGGAGGAGCTGAAGAATCTGGTGGAGGTTGTAGGCAATCCTGATGAGAAGGACAGCGATGTCGATGAAGCTCGCCAAAAGCTCCGAGTCCTCTACGGGAAAGATGCGGAGACCAGGCCTTACAAAGACCTGCTGAAGGCAGAGCCACTGATACAGATCCCTCCCTTGCGGTGTGTGGTCCTCGAGGATGAACAGGTGAGAGAGGACGTGTCCGTAAATTCCCACCCAGAACACAACGGTGACCTTCTAGTCCAATGATACTAAGACGTCAAGGGCGCGGGAGCCAAATTAGCAATTCCCGCCCCCCCAAAGAGCCCCAGCCATGTGGATTCATTATTCATTTACCATAGCGATATAGCTCCAAGGTTATATTGAGTCATTTGGTTACTAACACAGTAAAACTGGCTGATAACAGAAAAAGCCTCCTCACTGGTTTAATTTAAGGCATTTTCGATGAGGAGTCCTGTGGCACCTTATAGACTAACTGAAAGTCTAAGGTGCCACAGGACTCCTCATCGCTTTTGCAGATTCAGACTAACACGGCTACCCCTCTGATACTTAAGGCATTTTGTTACTGAGAGACACGTTAAAATACCATTTGCAATTCAAGAGCCTTAGTTTGAGTGTCACTGATGTAGTCTGATTTTCTAGATCAAGTGGGCAATAAAACGACGCCAGGTCACCAGGATTAGCCCCTGCAGGGCGGCTGCCGGTATATTTACCTGCCCCTTCACAGGTACAGATGGTCCATTTCCCCATTGGCTGGGAATGCTCATGTTCATCTGAGGAAGTGGGTTTTTCCCACGAAAGCTCACGATGCAACATGTCTTTCTTAGTCTCCAATGACCACTGGTTTTTAAATTTGCAGACTAACACAACCACCCCTCTGAGCCTTTTTACAATGGGATTTTGATTTTACTTACACTTTGTGCATGTGTATAAAAGCATCAGCCCTCTTTTTTACTAAGGGCATGAGAGTGGCCAGTTGGGCTCAGGCCAAAGGTCCATCTCACCCATGGTCCTGTCTGCCCACAGTGGCCAATGCCAGGTGTCCCAGAGGGAGGGAACTGAACTGGGAATCCTCGCGTGATCCCTCCCCTGTCACACACCTCCAGACTAACAGAGGCTGGGGACACCATTCCTACCCATCCTGGCTGACAACCATCGATGGACCGAACCTCTATGAATCTATCTTCTGTCTAACACATGAGTGTTTAAAATGCCAATCAGTTTTATACTTTTATAATTCTACATATTAATGTTAATTAATATCCAGGGAATCTATGCAATAGAACACATTGATTAATCATAACACCACGCTACAAATGGATAAGAAACTAAGATTATTGGCAACATCCATTTGCAAAAAATGGTAGGGAATGAGCCCTAAAATCTCACCCCACTGCTGGGTGGAAGGGAGTACAGATTGAACCCCTCTGATCTGGCATCCTTGGGATCAGACTGGTATCGAGCCAGAGAATTTGTCAAACCACGGGAAGTCAATATTGCCTAGCGGCATGACCAACCCTTCTATGGCTGTCTTGGTCCTTTGAAGACGTTGTAACAGTGCAGAGCACTGAGAGCCAGGCCTGGGGGTGCAAACAAACTTTGTGGGGCTGCAGGAAACTTGGCCACACCCATGGTAAGTGGACATCTAGCTCACTCAAATCCTGCCGGACCATGGAGGTTGCCAGACCAGAGAGTTCTGGACTAGAGAAGTACAAGTCATACAATTAAATACTGTTTGCAGAGGGCTAGGAGGTCCCAGCCCCAAACAGGGACTGAGTTTGGTTCATGTATTGTGCCTCAGGTGGAAAAACTCTCTGAAAAACTGGACCCTTATGTCCGGTCTCAAAGAGGCGAGGAGGAGCCAGGCTCGGATGCGGAGAAAGCCCTGGATCGACTCTGGCCGCTGGTCAAGTACGTGGAAGTGAAGATCCCGAAGTCGGACGTGATTCCAGAAGGCGTCGTGTTTGTGGATATTCCCGGGACGGGGGATTACAACAGCAAACGGGACGACATGTGGAAAGAGGTGACTTCCCAGCTCTGGCGGGAGGGGGTGGAGGAGAGGAAGGATGCTGAACCATTGACTTGGCTGGCGAGAATTTCAGCATTGGGTTGAATGGGACTGGCCCAGGGTCATACAGAGGAACACTCGGAAGGGGGCAGGGTACTTTGTGGCCTAGGGAAGGCATAGGGGAGGGGGGACGGAAGCAGCAGCTGGACCATATTCAGAGGCTGAGCCCCGGATATTAGTCAGCGACATGTCCCAGCCTGGCTCCGTGGCTGCTCCTGGATTCCTGTATCATCGAAGGCCATCCCAGGGTCCCACCGGGAACCTCCACCTAGTGCCGAGGCACAGCTGAGGGGCTTGAATTAGGGACGTGAGCCTGCCAGTTGCTGGCACAGTCCTGCAAAGACTGCCCCTGCAGCCATCAGGGAATTGTGGGTGCTCTGCATGGGGCAGGATGGAGCCCGGCTGCCTGCCTGCTTCCAGATATAGAGTCATAGAACCCAGGGCTGGCAAAGACCTCACAAGTCATCAAATCCAGCCTCCTGCCCAAAGCAGGACCCAGCCCAACTCAATCATCCCATTCTCTCTCTCTCTCTCTCTCTCTCTCTCTCTCCTTAAGAGCATCAAAAAATGTTCAGTCATCTGGGTGATCAGCGACATCAGACGGGTTCTGGGGGAGAAAGGCCATGAACAGCTGCTGGCAGAGGGCATCAAAGCATGCCAAGGCGGGATGTGCCAGGACCTGGCCCTGGTGGTCACACAGTCGGATAACCTGCATCTGAAGGAATACTTGAAGTAGGGCCATAAATCATCACCAGACTTCAGGGGATTGTGAGAGGCCTTCCTTTAGTGCAGGGATGGGAACCTTTTTTGGGCTGGGGGCTGCTGTCCCACATTAAAGTCAGGTGGGGGCTGCACGCAAGCGAGAAGCCAGAAAAGCCTCTACTGCTCACACCAGAAGGGTATGTCTTGATGGCATTGGGGTTTTTTTCGAAAAAAACCCTGCCCTTTAAAAAAAAAAATTTCTCCTACATCCACACTGCAAATGGAGGGTTTTTTTCAACTTTGGTAAACCTCAAATTACAAGGAAGAACGCCTTTTTCGAAAGAGCTCTTTTGAAAAAAGGCAAGTGTGAACACAAACAGGAATATTTTTCAAAAGAAGAGGCAATCGAAAAAAGCACAGGTGCCTTGGTGGCCATTCTGTGAATAGCAATCAGGGCTTTCGAGAGAGCGTCCAGCAGTCTGGACACACTCTTTTGAGAGAGCGTCCATGCACTCTGGATGCTCTCTTTCAAAAAAGCAGATCACTTTTTCAATCCAGTTTTGAGGGTTACATGCTCTCTTTCAAAAAAAGCTCTTTCAAAAGAAGCTGGCAATCTAGACGTACCTAAGTCACTGCTCTGTAGGCCCAGGTTACACAAAGAAATCCACTCAAAGCCACAGGTTGAATTGTTTTAGACTGAAACATCCTGGCTGTGTCTACACTGGCCACTTATTCTGGAAAATCAGCCGCTTTTCCGGAATAACTTGCCAGCTGTTTACACTGGCCCCTTGAATTTCCGGAAAAGCACTAACGATCTAATGTAAAATCATCAGTGTTTTTCCGGAAAAACTATGCTGCTCCCGTTCGGGCAAAAGTCCATTTCTGGAAAACTGTTCCGGAAAAGGGCCAGTGTAGACAGCAGAGATTTCTTTTCCACAAAAAAGCCCCGATAGCGAAAATGGCGATCGGGGCTTTTTTGCGGAAAAGCACGTCTAGATTGGCACGGACGCTTTTCTGCAAAAAGTGCTTTTCCAGAAAATCATCCTGCCAATCTAGATGCGCTTTTTCCGAAAATACTTTTAACGGAAAACTTTTCCGTTATAAGCATTTCCGGAAAATCATGCCAGCGTAGACGTAGCCCCTCTGGCAAACCGAAATAGCTGAAATCGGCCACAGCTTTCCTTTTCAGAGTAATGTCTCACATCTCTTGCGGCACAGAACTTCGCAAAGATCACCTGTGGCCACTCAGAACTTCACAGCAATAGCTGGGATAGAACTCTGATCCTCTTGTTCCAAAAGCAACACTTGGGCTACTGGAGACTCGCCAGTAGCAGGCACTACAGGGCCTAGGACACACATAATTGGTAGTTCTTATACCAAGTGGTAGTGCTCAACACTAGCACCCTCCAGCCTTTCTATAAGGGAAGAAAATGAGGCAAACGGACCAAAAAAAAAAAAAGTGGAGGGCTTGGGAAGGCAATAGGAAAGGGAAAGGCAACCAGATAATTTAATCCCATTTGCCCCACACTCCCCTCTGCTCCATTCACATAGTTGAGAAACAGTTGTGAAAAGGGGGAGTGGCCTGGCAGGAGAGGGGAGGAGCCAAGGAACATTTTCAGCTCCTTTAAAGAGACAGGAACAGCAGCTTGTTCTCCTGGCTGGTGTTAATGCCCCCTTCAGTTCAGTCCGTGCACTGGGATGGTTTCGATACCAAGGAAGACAGGCTATCTAATCCAACAGAGGGAGATTTTGAGTGAGTTTAGTTGAGGGGTCCAGACAGAAAGTCTGGCAAAACTACACTTGTAAGATTCAGCCTCAGCAAGTTACAATCTCCTGTAATATGGACACAGATAAAGATCCTGTCCCAGCCCCACGTGGCTGCCAGACTGTCTGGTGTAGGCGCCAGACTATCTTCTCCTCCCCTGTGATTTTTGCAACGCCAATGAGCTCTTCCTGCAACCTCAGATATAAACAAAGAATTCCTGGCATCGTGCCACACCTAGTATGAGGTGTTGCCCTCTTTCCTTTGTCTGGAGAGAGCTTGTTTCTCCAGCCCTCTGACTTTTTTGCCCACCTGCAGTGGTCTTTGTGGGCTGACCCTACATACTTCTTCACAGTCTGCTTGGGTCTTAACTATCCCGAGCAGTTTGGAATCATCTGCAAATTTTGCCACCTCACTGTTCACCCCTTTCTCCAGGTCACTTATAAATAAGTTGAATAGGACTGGTCCAAGGACATATCCTTGAGGGACCCCGCTAGTTACCTCTCTCCACTTTGAAAACCGAACATTTAGTCCTACCCTTTGTTTCCTGTCTTTTAACCCGTTATCAGTCCATGAGAGGACCCTCCCTCTTATCCCATGATAACTTACTTTACTTAAGAGCCTTTAGTGAGGGACCTTGCCAAAGGCTCTCTGAAAATGTCCACGTTTGTTGACCCCCTCAAAGAATTCCAGCAGATTAGTAAGGCAAGATTTCCCTTTACAGAAACTATGTTGACTTCCCCTAACAAATTATGTTCATCCAATATAATTGGAGAAGTGTTCCGGTCAAAAAACGAACACCAAGCAACCTTGAAGGCAAGAACATTAATGATCAGTGAGTTATGAGTTTTCCAGTGAGATATTTCCTGTTGCCTTTTGAGTGTATAGGATGACGGTGTGTTAGGTGCAGCAAGTATGTCAGGCCTGACACAAATTGCTCCATGGGCATGTGTGTCACAGGGGGTTGAGAAGTAGCAGGTCGTTCCACAAGTCTGTTGTCGTCCTCCAGAGAAAATCTTGGATCTTCCCCTAGAGCATCTGGTGCTGGCCAACGCCGGAGACAGAGATGCGGGACTAGAAGGACTTTGGGTTTAATCCAGTCTGCCTATGCACTTTACAGACTGGGCATTGTCACCTCACAGATCCTGCTGCTCACCTGTATGTGCAAGAGACAGGACAGGGGTTTTGAAGTTTGCTGAACGTGGTTAATGTGTCCTTTGTATCTTTTTTTCCAGGGAAAGGAAAGTGAAAAACGTGAGTATTTGGAAACCTTAAAAAAAAAGTTATAATCTTTTAAAAAAAAGATAGAGAGAGAGAGAGAGAGAGAGAATACTTTCTATGAACAAAAATGAGAGCTACATGGTTTGTCTTTTGAAGACAAATGTTACACCCCCTCATATTTATCAGTCCTAGGCAATGTTCCCTCTATTTGAAATTCACGCATGTAATACATTTTGTTGTATGCACCAAATCATGCCCAGATGTGCACCAGCAAATTGAAACACGTGGTGCCAGTTGTGGGAGGCTGTGGGTGCTCTGCTAATTAGCTAGGAGGCATTTGACTCTCTCCTGCCAATTGCTCAGTTTACAGGGAATGCTGGTCGAATAACAGCAAGTCCTGCTCACTGTAAGAGGAGCTATAGGATTAAATTTTGAAAAAATATTAGGCATTTATAGCATCCTTGGATCCTGTCTAGGTGTCACCTGCTCACCCCACACATGGGAGTCCCTCACTTGCTTTGTGTAGGTAAGAAAGAGAGAGCATAGCTCATAGTCAGGATACAATTACAAGAACTATTGGCATTTGTACCTCAGGAAGGAGGTTGATCATCAGCTAGAACCAGGTAAATATCCTGAGAGGCCCTGATGCAGTGGTGTGAGATCCAAGAACTCCTCTGAGTGCATCCCATCTCTGCAACAGACTCTATGTGTGTCCTTGAGAAAGCCACTTAACCTCTGTGCCATGGCTTCTCCATCTAACAACTGGGGCAGCAGGGCTGTCCACATACATGGCAGCCCTGAGGAATGCAAGAGGTTAGAACTTCAGAAGCTGAGCAACGTTGACAACAAAACTGAGTGGAATCCACCCTTTATTCCCATAATCCCAGTAGTGCCCAAATACCTCACAAAGCTTCTTGAAATTCCTGGGTGAGGTTCTTTGCCTTGAGTAAGGTTGGAAGGCAGCTTAGATGGTCCCTGTTGGCCTTCACATCTACTGGAGAATTTTGGCAAGTTTTGGAACTACCTTCAATAGCTTTAATGTCTTTCCATGCGTAGAAACCCATAAGAAATGAACACGACGCCATTATAGAAAGGAACACAACGGTGAAACTGGAGAAGGGCAGCAAAATGAAGGAGAAGCTCCAGGTAAAGTTAGAACCCCAAATGCTCTGGTTTCCGTTGCATGACTACAGGATAGGGTGGTGTGAGGGGTCCTGGTACCCCCTAAGGGGTCCGTATCGTAAGTCACATCCCCGGGGATCCCCGAGACCTCTGCACCCAAAAAACCCAGCTCCCTTCCCTTTGTCCCCAAACTTCCCAGACCAGTTCCGTTAGTCCCCCAAAGTCCTGAGGCTAATTCTGTCTGCCGTGTGGACTTGTCTTCAAGAGAGGTAGGGGAGCTCGGGCCCTCCCTCACCTCCGGGCCCCAACCCAGGACCCTGAAGGCAGAGGTATTCCCCACTGCCAGGACATGGTGGGGTCCCTAGCTGAAACATGCCAACCCCTTCCGGGACCAACGGCCCTGTCCTGGGTCGCTTCCTACCTCCCCCGATCCTTAGGGGTCATGTGAGTCCGTCAGGTACCTCCCATTCCACTGCACTGTGCCAGTTGCCCAGTCGCAATATTTGCCACTAGGTCTTCTGCGTCTCCACTTCGGCTCTGCCCTTTCAGACCTGCACTGCCTTCGTCATGGGGTAGTCGCTACACCTGGTCAGGCTCTCCCATAGCTCAGAATCCGGTGGTACCTGCCAGGGAGGCTGTGTCTATAGTCAGTCCAGGGGTTTGGAGGAAGTGGGGGTTCTGTCCCCCTGCCAGCGCTGAAGCCGGGTTCAAGGCGGACCCTCTCCTCAGTTCTCCCCACCTGGCTTTCTCCTTCCTCCCCACCCCCGCCTTCGGCCCGGACCTCTTTATATGCCCTATCTTGTGCTGGGCTCCTCGGCAGGAGGCGTTCCCCCTGGGTCCCGGTGGCCGCCAGATTCAGCCCTGCCACCTGGGAACAGGTGTTGCAGCGCCGCCATCGCGGCGTGTGCACACCCCAGAGCACCACACCACCGCCAATAGGGCAGGGTCCAGACACCCTATCAAAGGCCGTTATACCCCATGCAAATGTAGGCAGAATTGGGATCAATATATTGACATAAGAAAGCTGCTCCAATATGACTCAGCCAAGCTTTTAGACCTGCCATGGGTATGCTGGCTAGTGAGTGGGCTGCATGAGTGACCCTCCTTCATCTCAATGGTCCGCAAGATGGTTGTAACCCAGACCGTCTCCCGGGATAGGCCAGCTTTGCTCACTGCACTTGAGAGCATCAAACTTGCAGAGGTGCTGACTGAACCGTAGCAGCTCAGTGATTGGAGGCCGAGGGAGCATGTGACTCACACAGTCAATGTCGTGTGCCATCAGCATGCCCCTCGCTTCCTGTGCCCTGGCTTTGTGCATGTCACTTTAGTAAGGGTATGTTACACTTCAGAATTTTGTCGGTAAAATGGCTGTTTTTCCAACAACCTGAGTTACGGCCACACTGCAATCGCGTTCTTCTGAAAGTAAATCAAAGAACAGAGGGGTTTTCCGGTGTTGGTAACTCTCTTTCTACAAGGAAGAAACCTTTTTCCCAAAGAGCTCTTTTGGAAAAAGGCGTGTGTGGACGGGGAAGAGGGAGTTCTTTCTCAAGAAGAGGAAAGAGGAAAAAGCACAGGTGCCCTGGTGGCCATTCTGCCCAAAGTAATCACAGCTCACATGTGAGATAGTGTCCATTCCGTGTGGAAGCTATCTGTCAAAAAAGCAGATCGATTTTTCAGTGCGCTGTATGGATACTCTCGTTCCGAAGAAGTATTTTTGGAAGAGGCCTGCAGTCTAGACGTAGCCTAACACTGGTAGGAAAAAAACAATGCGGATGGAAAAGACTAGAATCTGACATCCCTGTGTGTGGGCAGTGGTAACAAAATGCTTCATGGGCCACACGTAGGACTGGTAGTGCCCGGATAAATTCTACGTGGCTAAGGAATTTGGCGGATTTGCTTGCCTCAGCGGCTCCCAACAGTCTGCAGTTGTAGGCCCCATTCCCGGGGCTGTAGTTTGCCGTTTGTTGAGCTCTTTGCATCCTTGGTGAGTGTAGGGTATAACAGGGATCAAGCTCCAGAGTCCGTTTCTCCGAGTGGAAATGGGGAGTGGTAGTGCCCGGATAAATTCTACGTGGCTAAGGAATTTGGCGGATTTGCTTGCCTCAGCGGCTCCCAACAGTCTGCAGTTGTAGGCCCCATTCCCGGGGCTGTAGTTTGCCGTTTGTTGAGCTCTTTGCATCCTTGGTGAGTGTAGGGTATAACAGGGATCAAGCTCCAGAGTCCGTTTCTCCGAGTGGAAATGGGGAGGTGGGTGTTGGGGGGAACCCGGGCCCCCCGCTACTCCGTGTTCCAGCCTAGGGCTCTGGGACACCTGCTAGGAGACAGCTCCAGGACCCCATGGCTACTTCCCCACACCTTCCTCAGGGTATGTCTACACTACAAAGTTAGTTCGAACTAACAGACGTTAGTTCAAACTAACTTTCATAGGCGCTACACTAGTGCTCCGCTAGTTCAAATTTAATTCGAACTAGCGGAGCGCTTAGTTCGAACTAGGTAAACCTCATTCCACGAGGATTAAGCCTAGTTCGAATTTACTAGTTCGAATTAAGGGCGGTGTAGACCCTTAATTCGAACTAGTGGGAGGCTAGCCCAGGGAAACTCGTCTGTCCCCCTCCCGGCCCCGGACTCCTTACAGGGGTATGGGCTGGCTACGGTGCCCGTGCGAGGTGCAAGCCTGCCAGCACCCAGCCAGCAGACCCTGCACCTGGCACGGATTGAGCCGCCCACCTGATGCCCCCCAGCCCTCGCCCTCTTCCTGGGCCCAGGCTGGTGGCTCTCCGGAGTCTGCCCGGGAC